TCAGCGCTGTACGGCCCTCGGTCAAAGAGCTGCAAATGTTTGCAAGGATAAAACTGCTGGCCATTCTCAGCTCTGCCACTACCTCGCCTGCACGCACTTACTTATCCTGAACGTCAATCCTTCATTCCTCTGGGGCTCGGGTTGCAGTGCATGGCTTGGAGTTCGGTCATTGCCCCGTTTCACCATGTCTGAAACTTAGCTCCGCAACCCACCCGAGAAGGACTCCGCAAAAGGCGATACTGGTAGCGGTGGCGGTGGCAGCAAAAATCGTGGTGGTGGTGGTGGTGGTGGTGGTGGTGGTGGTCGTGGTGGTGGTGGTGGTGGTGGTGGTGGTGGTGGTCGTGGTGGTGGCAGCAGAAGGAGTAGCAGTAGTAGTAGTAGTAGTAGTTGTTGTTGTTGTAGTAGTAGTAGTAGTAGTAATCGTCGTCGTCGTCGTAAAACCCTTCGCCCCTTTCTGCATCAGGACCTGTGAAATCGCCTGAACTTCTGAGTACACGGACTGTATGACCCAGCTGCATGTGAGTTCCGTACGGCTAAAAACAAGTCCAAGAAAATCCAATGCCCGCACAATGATCCTCGTGGAGGCTCCTTGCTCCTCGTTGAGAACCGTTCACTCCTACATAAGGCCCATGAGCCGCGATGTTGACTATAGTTGTTCTTGTATTTGGAGACGACTTGCCGCTCTTGGGCGCGAGCCTCCGCTTGCAGAAACTCATGAAGGCGCTCCTTTCGCTGAGAAGCGGTGAACAGATACGCATGTGGGTTATGAAACAGGGGCTTGGGGATTTGGGATTTGACGGTGTTGCGTTTAAAGGCTAATGGCTTGGGAGTTAGAATAGGGTTACTAGCTACTGAACACGCACGCACCAATTACCAGCCGATCGCCGGAAACCTGAAACCCCAAGCCTTTTTTCCCTTGTAGACCGTAGCACCCCGAAAAAGATTCTATGGAACCCTAAGCTCCCTTCCTTGGAGATCTTCACCGGCGCAGCTGCCGAGCAGAGCCACCTTCTGACATCAGAGCGGTGATGCGGCAACGAAAGCCCCCCGAGCTACAAAGCGAGGTTTCTGATGGATCTTTGAAAATTTTAGAGGGTTTTTTGTAGGTTGGAAAGGGAGCTTTTTTTTATGAATCTTTAAGACGTCAGCAGGCTTTCCCAGGCCACAAGGGGAGCTTGAGTGTGTCTTTCAACAGGTTTTCTACGCAGCCAGAAGTTTTTGGGAGTGCTGGAGGGTTGTAAGGGCTTTGTAAAGCCTTCGGCCAGCTGGAGGCGTCCGACTCAACATCAAAAGCGAGGCAGCCTTGAGACTACTGCTCGATCATTTGAGCCTTGGCGCAACAATAGGCATAAACGGAATGTCACAATCATTCCTTGCTACGGGGTATTACTGTTATTATGAAGCTATTGCAATTACTACTACTGCTGCTAGAATTATCATCATGAACAGTGAAGCATTGGCTGGTAAGAGCAGCACAGCAGAGGACGATGATCGGACGATGGGTTCGATGCATGACCACATCTCGCAAAGACAAAAGTCCGGTTTCTTGGACACGGTCAGATCAACCATCTCTATATATATATATATATACGGATATGTATAATGTATATGTTTGTATCCAATTAAGATACTTGAAACTATACTTGCTTAATCCTCCAAATAAGTCCCTCACCTCCTGCGTGCGCTTGTAGACCGAAGTCTCGTCCGGAGCAGTTCCCATTGGCTGGCCTTGGCGTCATGTCTAGATAGCAACGGCAATAGTAAAGAGATGCTGCTAATCATAGTACTCGTATTTGTAGCAGCAATAGCAATAAGAACGGTGGAAGTCATACCCGCAGTGGTAGCAAAAAGCAATAAAGTATTGTAAAAGGAAGAACAACAAAAAAAAACGAAAGTAATCATGATCATGATAACAACAGCCAATGATAAAACAACGATAAATATAGCACTAACAACAGTCAGTAAGAATTGGCATTATTTTTACGATGATGATGGATATAATGGCAGCATCCCCTTGATCGACCCTATGTAATCTTAATCTTACACCACAATATAAGCCAAAGCTTCATGGTTCCATCTCTAGGTGAGAAGTTGAAAGACTCTGGTGCAGTCTTGCCTTGAAATCCTAACGCACATAACTCTCAAACCCCAGAATCCTAAACCCTAAACCCTGGAAGTTCTGCTAAACCCCAGAATCCCAAGAGTCCCCTCGGAGCTCTCGAAAGAGCCTCCCGAGTTAGCTCCTCCACCCAACGCCCCTTCTCCCCTGAACCCCGGGGGACCTGGACCCTTCAAGGGCAAAGTGGGCTTGAGGCCCTCCAAAAAATTTCTGGTCCCTTTTTCTAATTCCGTTTTAAACCTGGGCTATGCCATAGGCAAGGACGAGAGATGCAAACCCTGAAAACCCCGGGTTACCCTCAAGCCTCAACCGTGCCCCGATCTCCCGCAGAGTCGCAGCTGCCGGACGAAGCTTCGGCCACATGGCCGCAGATGTCGAGGGGTTTAGGGATGCTCAGGGTTTAGGGCAAGTTTAGCGTTTAGAGGGCTTGGGCTTAAGGCCGTTGCGGTCTGGGTTTGCTAGGCTCACGGCTTCTGAAGTGGCAGGTTTAGGACCCTGAAGCCCAGATGGTCACTGGTCTCAAATTTCGGCGGCTCTTCTTTTGCGGTGGGCTGTGGCCCTAAACCGAAGGTCCAAAGTTTCAGGTATAAGGCAGCAGACAGTTCTGTAGAGCTCGTTTGTAATAATAGAGGGTCGAATTCAGTAGACTAGGGTTTGAGGGGCTTCTATACAATAACACTATCGCGGAACCCTGGGGGGCGATGTAAACTGATTACTTATGCAAGCCCCTATATCATGCGTCTGATGATGTGGTGTCACGGCATTCTTAGGGTCCAACCGGCTGACTGTGCAGCATTGTGAGGGCTTCTTCAAGGTGTATGTTGTCTTACACCCCCTGATCTAGATCTGGGAGGGGGCAAAAGGATCATGTGACAGAATTTTACTATAAGCCAGAAAGTCTGGGACTTCATCGCTTCGCCATGTGCTTGAGAAACGCGCAGCTTGAAACAACCTACGTTCAGGCCGCCAGCCACATGGAACATGCATCAACCTATGTTGCTCGCAGTAACATACTTTTATCTAGAATCTAGAGTCCAACACGGAGCAGCCTGTTGCCTTCGTTTGCCTTGAAGAAAGCGCGCTCTTCTCACGAACTACAACACGAACTTCCCTTAGCCCTTGTGTAGCGACAATCAGTTTTGACTGCACGTGACCCAAAACGGACTGAAGAATACATGCTGCTCAGCGCATGTGCTCGAGAGGACGGCCCTTAACGCCAAGATACCGCAAGGGCCTGCAAAGAAGCTCTCTTCGGCGGGGGTGTGACGGGCGCTGCTTCCTCCTTTGCAGGATCGTCTGAAGGTTCGGAACAACCAGGGGGAAAAGAGTCTTGATTTTGTGGTACCTCTGCAAACTCGGCCATTGCGCAACCTCACGATCGAACCAATCACCCTAGAAGCCAACAAACAATCTCGAGTCTGGAGTCATCATGTGGGTAATTCTCTAAATTAGGGTCCCTTTTCAGGTCCTTAGTATAGTACGGCGCCCTTATAAAAAGCACCCTAAAAGGCACCCTAATTCGGACAACTACCCATGTAGGTCTTAATTCCTACGGCCAAGGCATCTAGCTAACAATCCAACGGGACATTCGCGAGGACGAATCTTGTTCCGGAAGCTCAATTCCCCTCAAAGCCCTTTCGAGTCTGGTCAAGACAGGGTTTAGGGTTTAGGGTTTTCTATCCGTCTTAATCGCAGAGCCTCCTGGGCGGGCAGCGGCTCGCGCCTTTCACGGCCCTCGCGGCCATCCCGGCGCGCGGCGCGTGGGGGCGTCAGCACTTCCTCGGCCTGGCGCCGATTTTGCTTCATGGGTTTTGGGGTTTCGGTGCACTAGGGGCTTTATAGGCGCCAAAGAAGCACTTTTCGGCTGAGCCGCGTAGGCATCTGGCATGTCACTGGATTCTGGGCTGAGGTTCCCAAAACCTGGTGGTGAAGGACTATGACCTTCGCCCACAACTCGAAGTTAAGAACCCTAAACCCTGAACTCCTGAACCGTAGACCCTGAACCCTAAACCCCTAAGAACCCTAAACCCTGACCACCGAGATGCTTGGAACCTCGGGGCGTGCAGCAGCCGGCGCCTCGCCGACGGCTGCGGCCTCTTCGACGAAGGGTTTAGGGTTTAGGGCAGTTTAGGGTTTAGGGTTAGGTGTAGAGTCGCTGTCTGCGCGTTTTCGAGGCGACATGGCTTCAAAAGTAGGTCCTATGTCTACATCTACAGACAGAGGACAATACGATGACATTGATGAACACGAAATTTGGAATCGCTGCCATGTGCTTATCCTAAGGCGATGGTTGCACATGCCGGACTCCTGCAGGTGGCGATTCGGGGGAGTCGTCATGCAACGCCAGCTTATGGAAGGATGGGAAGCTCTTTGGTAGAATGCTCCAGTCTACCTTCCACCGTCATCTTATGATGCCATACCAGATTGGTTGTTGCTAGCAACAACATGCGGTTGTTGCTATGTCAAGACTCCAAACACAGGACCCCGTCCAAGTCCATTTGCACAGTCTCGAGCCTGGGATTGCTTCTTCGACGCTGCGGCAGCCTGTTGCATGCAGAAGATGTACCAGCACTGCCAGTACTGCAACATGTGCACTGACTTGGTAGCCGTGAAGGAGGAGCATGGACTGGCTTTCCGATGCACAACAACCCACGGTTGTTTTCATCGCGCTGTCGGCCAATGCTACCGCTATCGTCAGGTTCTCTCATGTTGCTGGCATGCAACACATACTGAGACTAAGACTGAGACTATTTTCAGCACTCGCGCTCGAAGCTTAGGCGAGGTTTGGGGAGGACACGCAAGGTCGGAGCAAGACACATCCGCCCCCGGGTCGGGATCAATGATCTCACACCACGCCTGCCTCTCATCTTGCATGCCCTGCTCACTGCTCCGAGAGCTCTGAGTGCTCTCTTTGTCGTCTCCGGAGCTCTCGCATCAGCGTCACGGCCCGGGAACAGAGGTGGCAGCGCAGGTCGTGCAGACCCTGGCCCTGTCGAGCCGAGACCATGATGAGGCGCTGGCTCGATCGGGGGATGCTCCGGATGTCCTCGAGAACCAAGGTCGCGACTTTCGCCAGCATCTTGGGAACGACCATGTCGCACTTCGTCAGGATGAAGACCTTCTCGGGCCCTCGGTTGCCGAGAGACGCGTAGAACCTCCAGTCCGTCGGCCGAATCCCTGTTCGGGCGTCCACCAGGCAGTAGAGGACCCGCAAGGACTTCCGACTTTGCAGGAACTGGGCTACTAGCGGCCCGAACTCGGCTCCCTTGGCATAGCCATAGCCAGGAAGGTCGATCACATCCAAAGGCAGCCGGCTGCACTTGTACCAGTCGATGGAACGAGTGACACCAGGATCATCCTTCGCAGGAGCCAGTTGCTGCGTCCGTGTCAGCGAGTTCAACAGCGAGGACTTGCCGACATTGGAAGCGCCGATGAAGGCCACCTCAGGCCGCTCGGCGAGAGGAGGCGAAGAGGAGGGATGGCACCGGGCCCGCTGCCTCAGGAAGCCCTTGTGCACGGCAGCGGCCATGCGCCCCAAGGTGTCGCCTCGGCCATCATCGACTGCGCCTCTTCGGCCGTCGTGTGCTGGATCAAAGCCCGCAAAGATGGCTGGGCGGTGCTCCCCACGCTTGAGCTTTGGGAGCTTTACATTTCCCAACTGATGCAAAGCGATGAACTCCTTGATGGCCTTCGGGGGCTCTGCTTGGGCTCTCCTCATGCGGAAGAATCCTGGCAGCGGAATGGCCTCCACAGATCCGGCGCTGGCAGCAGGATCCGCAGACCAGCCGGCTTCATCCCAACCACCCCAATCCTCCGCAGCCAAGCGAGCCTTCTCCAAAACGTTGGTGCCCGGATTGTTCCAGTCCAAGGGCTCCTCCATCTCACTCCGAAGACCACGGCGAAGCTTCGTGCTGGAGGACTCCTCCGCGGCCGACGCGAAGACCGGGGCCTTGCCGCTCGGCACCGAGGTGCCCTCTGCCTCCGCAGCCTCAGCATCCACTTTCTCCAGTCCCTGAAGCCAGCGGCGACGTCGCTCTCGCTTCTCCTCTCTCTTGCGGAAGGTGCTAACGGAGGCTCGCCTGCAAAGCCGGCTCCTGCATCTCCGCGAGGCTGCCGCTGCCGCCGCTGTGAAGCCCAAGAGCCATACGCTCTCTCGCGACACCGTCGCGGCGCAGTGGCCGTCGTGGGGCTCCGCCGGCCCTGCTGTGGGCACGATCACCTTGGCATGCGGCCGTGCAGCCGTGTGCCTAGAGAGTGGCACCACTTCCGGGCGCTCCACCGTCCCGACCCATGACCCTACCCTCTGCCAGGGCACGTCCATGGCTCGACCCCTGCACTTGAGCCAAATCGCTGCTGCTGCTTCACCTCCTGATCCCCCTCCTCATCCTGCTTCTCCTTACCCCCTCGCCTCCTCCTCGTGCTGGCTGATGGGAAAGATCGAGAACGTTTCCTCTTACTCTGACCGCTTCCACTTGCAGTTGCTAGTCCCTCTCATGCTTTCTGTGGAAACTAGGATTGACTTTAGAGGTGCGGGTTTTGGGCTGCCGGGATCGCTATACAACATGATACAAACGCCTGCAATTTCCCAAATCGGGCTGTGTCAGCTACCTAGGGACTATGGAGGAATGACTACTGATAGGTCGCTAAGCTCCCATATGTCGTCTGAGGATTTGCAACTCACGATACACGTACCGTGTTTTCGACTGTCACAACTCTGGGTTTAAGGCCTTAGGTTTCGGTTTCGTGTGTCATCAGGGTGGTTTACGTTTGTTCAGGAAAATTAGGACACACCTCGCTCCACCTAGGCCCACTGCCATCACAAGACAGGCAGGCAGGCATCATGGCAAACAACGGCGAGACCGGGTCGAGGTGCTCTTGACATGCCACTTTACTGCGATGCCTCAAACTTCCTAAACTGTGCGAGCGGGAGAGAAGCTTCAGAATAATCTGGTCCCTGCACTCTCCCACAACGGACCAAGCCTCCCCACGCTGCCGGAGCAGTCGCTCACGAAGTTCTGACAGAGCCACCTGCTGACATGGAGCGTCGTGGTCGGGTTGGTGATAGCGGTCGCCGCAACGTAGCTTGCAGTAGCAGTAGTCGTCGCCGTCGTTGTCATAGATCGTAGGAGGAATAGTAGCAGCAGCAGCAACAGGAGTGGCAGTGGTAGCAGGCGTCGTCGTCGCAGTAGCAGCAGCAGCTGCAGCAGCAGTAGTAGCAGTACCAGTACCAGTACCGGTTGCAGCAGTAGTGGTAGTAGTGGTAGCAGTGGTGGTAGTAGTGGTAGTGGTAGTGGTAGTGGTAGTGGTATTGGTAGTGGTGGTAGTGGTAGTGGTAGTGGTAGTGGTAGTGGTAGTGGTAGTGGTGGTAGTAGTAGTAGTAATAGCAGTGGCAGTAGCAGTAGCAGCAGCAGCAGCAGCAGCAGTAGTAGCAGTAGCAGTAGCAGTAGCAGTACAGCTACAGTAGCAGTACCACCAGTAGTAGTAGCAGCAGCAGCAGGAGTAGTAGTAGTAGTAGTAGTAGTAGTTGTTGTTGTTGTTGTTATTGTTGTTGTAGTTGTAGT